ATAATATAGAGATTAATTGTGCATATATATAACAAAATATTTTATTAAACATTGTGTAATTCATTGATATTTTTGAGTAATGAGGGTATTTGTTTTCTATTTTTATWAATTATAACAACTACAATTAATTACGTCATTTTTATCTGGTAAAATGATAAATGAGCTCGAAAATAAATACAATTGGTATTGAATATCAGAATATAATATCCAAGTATGACACTAATTGACAAAATAATATACGAAACGGTTTTTAATAATGATTCAAATTGTTAAATCAAACGGATATAGGTAGTGAATGTCATCACATATACATTTAAACGTTATAGGAATCAAAATAGTTTAACAATGATAAAATAATTAGCATTATTATTATCAATGATAATTATAAGTGTTTGTTAAAAATAAAAAATAGACCATTTTTCTCTAGACTTTTATGGAACACAAGCGATCAAAGTCGCCACTAAATATGACTGTATAACGGTATACTATATTATATTTTTCACCAGCGGCATATACATAATACAACCAGCAGCAGCTGCAGCAGTAATGGTTAACAGTCACAATATTCCGAAACCTTGACAGTTGAGAGACTTCACACGAGCGCGACACACGGAGGTGCGGTGGGCAAGTTTAAGTCTTCCGTCTCCGACGGGGCAGGCACGGCGCTCGCATTTAGGTTTAAGCGGTTTCATAAAATACATATATTATAGTACGCAATAATATACATGTACGTTGTATATGCACGCCACCACCGCAGTTTCGAAAAAGTTTGCGACTTTTTTTCTTTTATTATCATTTTGTCTTTCTCTCGGCGCACATCCGTCCCACCCGGCGCCGACTCGCGCACGCACACACAATACGTACGAAAGCTGAATCATTTATTCGACCGCTGAGCACCATACACATACACATAACATACCWTACATATGTGTGTGTGTGTATAAGTTATGACCGAGTACCGGGTATACCTCTCTCGTTCTTTATAAGCGGGTTATTTATGGGGCGGGGATTATGCGAAAGTATATATAGGAACTCGTCTTATGAAGCTATTTATTTCCGGCACAGCGGACTTGGTTTTATTTAAATGCAGGCTCCCACATCYCCTACCATCCATATTGCCACTGCTTACTCCTAAAGACCGCAAAAAACCGCAAGCGACGACTTGGTGGCAGGCAGCGACTGYATATAATATGAGTGTAACGTTACCTATAGATTATAGGTACCTAAGCGATTTTTACTATTTATATCAATAATAGCGTTATGATATRCATAATTCCTGATGCCCCAACGAAGGAACTACCAATGAATAGAATACGCGTAAGCTCAACTAGGTCAAGATAGTAGCTGTGTAGGTAAGATACGAGACTAAATTACTCGTAACTTAGTTTAATAATTTTGGAATTTGATATTTGTTTTCATTATCATAATCATTACAACTACTTTTCGCTCGTATAAAATGTAAAAAACATCGTAAAGCAACTAMAAAAAAAWTTTTAAATAATTTAATTATCTAACCAAGACGCATTAAAATTAAGACTTAATCGAGGTCATTATTCGTTGACCGTTTTTCCATACAATTTACTGTTTATTAAAAGTTAATTACTTTTTCGTCGGTMTTTTTTTTTTAATTTGATTTTTTGCACTACAGCTACTCTTGAACAGTCTCAGTTTAATACTATCACCGAAATTTAATACACAGCCCCAACAATATAGAGAGTTGTTGTTCGTAAACCATTTCAGTGATTATATAACTGTATTTAACTTTAGTATAATACACAATGCAAACTAAATCACATGCACCATGCGCGATAACGCGTACTAATTTCTCGATGACTGCATAATATGCATTAGGTATATGGTTTTTGTTCATCATGCGTGCGATGTAATTCATAGTACCTATATTCAGCAACGAGTGTCAATATTTTTTTCATACAAATCGTTCGTCAACAAATCCACAACCGTCGTACGCATATACACACAAAGGCAGGTCGTGTGCATGTAATTTATTACCTTATGTATACATTATTTGATATGATAGAGCGAGAAGAGAGATATAAAAAGAAATGGGGATCTCATCTCTGGGATGGTACGCAATAATTTACAGAGTGTCCGTCGCGTTTACTCGTACGCATAAATCGCCACAAATCGCATTCGCGTTTCGGATTGAATATTGTACGAGTTTTTAGTGGAATTTATTTCTCAGCTCTCGGTTTTTTTAGTATTATTTTTTTT